ATTTCGTAGTGGCAACCAATTTAACCCATTTGTCAATCACATGTTTACTCTTAGACCCCTTAACAAAATTAGACTGTTTAATATTCAAAGTACTAAATGCATGTGTACCGCAGGCACAGTGCAAACATGCCCATGTATGGTTACTAAAAAAATATGCAAAATACACAGTGTCATCAAATATCTATTATTTATACAATGGCGTGAAAGTGAATATACAGAAATTCTGTAATGTATATATGGCCACAAACCCGGATTACATTTCGTTAATTGTGGACATCTGGAAAAGAAATATCTTAATTCACAGAATCAAGACGCAATGGATTTTGGACTGTGACTACAGAATATTACAAAATTCAAGGATGCACGTTATGCATTGTGAAACTACTATGTATATTTTGTATACAACATCACATGGTATTAAACGACTTTATGTTTAAATTCGTGTTCATCTGAAGATTTAAATGAAGCAATTGGTCTTCATTATATAAAACTCCTCGGAAAGTGGAATTGTCCATCCTAACATTACACTCAGGAGTATAAATGAGAACAATATATCTACTTTACAGTTTTGCTTCAAAATTTAATAATACATTCACAATAACAGATTTTATCATGCAAATTATACACTACTAAAACTACAATTAATATTAATTGTTTAAGTGCCATATACGCTAGTGATAAACCAATTTTAAACTTGACTTAATTGATATTCCAACATATTTGAATGTATAGCGATTTTTTAGCAGCCAGTGTTATGAAAGTCTTTGGTGCATATTGTGTTAGCTGTCAGCAATAATGTTCAATAGATAGACATCTTGATATATACACAATATCAATTCACGATCGCAATACAAACGAATATGTCCAGCAAACAATGATCATAGATTAAAAAAACGTGACAAGGAGTTAAAAATGTAAATTATTTTGTGTTTTTAACATTAACATTGTTGTAGATACAAAGACCATACTATTTATGCAGGTTTAAATGTTATTTTTACCTGTGTAGATATTGGGTGTGAATTATTGGGAATACTGAAGAAATCGATATTCCCAATTCGGGTGGGGTTTATTATAATGATTAAATTTTATATTACTCTGAGAGAACTTTTTGTAATTTTAAATAATTTAGTGAGAACTTTGATATCAATTTATTACATTATGTTGTTAGGCAGCAAAGTTATCATTTTGATTGATTTTATATATTGATTTTATTATGTAAATCACTTAGCTTTGTGCATGCTAAATGTTTATATAATGTATTTGACTGATCTGATAATGAACACTCTATGTACACTTTATTTGTATTTCTACATGATAGTTAAAATAGCTAAATTGATTAAGACATAATATTATATCTTATTATTCAATGAATTCGGTTACAATACAACATATTTCACACATTCACTTTTCTAATGCTTTTACAGTTCGGTGCACTCCATACTCACTGCTTTATTTCATGCTATTTTTACTCAATACATGCCCAATACAGTGACCCCGGGCAAGTGTAATGCGTTCTGTTAATCACTTGCTTAACCTATATTTATAGAAATTCGTAGTTTATTTACAATCTGATAGCACTAATACCCATAAGCATCAGAGTATATAACGGGGCAGTCAGACTGCTTCCATGGAACACAGACCTGAGCTGCATAGGCATTCCGTAATGAGTAGATAATATACAACGTGTTACAAATGGCATTGGCCATTCTTTGAAATACGTTTATTTCACCAATGGCGTTCGTCTGAAATGCAGAATTGACGTATTGTATCCAGTTGCCACCCTCCTATCGTTGAACTACGATGCCACAGCGATGACCACGATGCACGTATGCTAAGGATGTTTTCAAGCTAGCTACGATCAACAATAAACAAATATTCACTGCACGGCGTTCACACTCGCATACATTCTGCTATTGGTACCGCGCAATAGTAAAGATAATAAATTTGAGACGATGCATCACTGCGTGCGAAGACATATGATGACCTACTACAACCACTTGTCGTAATGCAAAATAAAACTGCTATGCCGACTAGTGTACATTTCCTAATGTGCACGAGGCCAGTTAGACAAGGGAAATCTAAAATAAAATTTGTTCACCTAAAACTAACCTTTACGGTCACGTTAACAGTAGACAAGTTTAAAAAATAATTTTAGAGCATGCATGGGCATTTGCCATTTTCTTAAACAACTGTAAAAAATACGAAGAAGTCAGTAAATTAATTCGAGTCAC